TATTCTCACAAGAGTACAAGACAATTGTTGACAAATTATGAAAACTTAATGTTGTTAACTCCTAAAATTGTTTCCCCTATTAAGAAATCCGATGATAATATAATACTAAGTGTCAAGTTAGTTCATTTCAAAGAGATAGCTAAAGAATGACAAATACAACAAACTCATGTTATAAAAGTGTTTTTATATGCTCAAAGATGAGTGCATAAGACTCATTAATATATTCTTTTGCCCAAAAAATTTAAATGGTTGGATATAATTTTATAAGTTTTTAAAATTGGTGTTTCATAAGCTTAATTTTGATTTATATTGAATAATATATAAATCATAAGCTGAAGTTTGGCTCAATTATGACACCCTAACACTCTTTAGGCTATAACGTAAAATATATAAATGATATGGGTATGTGACCAATTGTATTAGAAAGCAGACCCTAATGATATACAATAAGCCCAATTTCGACTTTTTAATCAAAAGTTATGGGTTTTGGAAAATTAGACTGTATGCCTGAGTGGCTAGAATCGTTATAAACGGTGTAGAATCATGGAATCAGTCATCTGATCCACCGATTCCAACCAATCCTACCGACTCTTTGAGCGATTCTACCAACAATTTAAATCGTTTGGGTGATTTGGATCGTAGAATCTTCCAATTCTACGACCCTAATCGCTATTTTAATAACATTGCTTAAAACCCTTACTACACAAATATCTTGTACTACTAAACGTAAGGGTATTTATGACTTGTTAACGGCACAAGAAGATATTATACCTCAAAAAACTTGAATGTTTAGAAGTTCCGCTTTCACATTATTATATACTTAAACAATGCTGTAGTATTGCTTGCCACTTAAAGTGTCTTTTATTTACTTAATTTTTACTCCTCTAATCTTATTATTAGAACTTATATAATATAAACTTATAAGTATTATAAGAGTAATTTGTTTTAGTTGTAAATTGACTTAGATAACCTTTATTAGAACTTATAAGAAATTAATATTTCAAACTTATCTTTTTACTCCATCTTAATAGAAGTCATTTTCATGAAATAAGTGAAAATAAGTTAAAGAAAACAAAATTCAAGCGGAAAAAAAAAAAAGTTAAAGAAAACAAAATCGTATTAAAAAAAAATCCCTTTTTTACGTATATGGGCCTCTCCACAAGTATCAAAATGAAACCCTGAAAAGCCAAGCCCAAAAACCCTAAACCATTTGGAGTATATTTATCCAACTCCATCACATAAAACCACTGAAATGCTGGTTAAATTCTAGGGTTTTTTTTGGTTAGAGTGAGCAAGAAGAAGAACCAGCCGCCACCACCCGAAGATCAACCTCTTCCTACGCCGTCACCATGGGTCGTATGCACAGTAAAGGGTACTTCTTCTCCGTTATTCTGATTTTCTCTCTCCTCTTTCTCTTTAATGGCGTCGAATTCTTATTCTTCCCATTTCTATGATGTTCTTACAGTAAGGGTATGTCCGCTTCTTCCATTCCATACAAGCGGACTCCTCCTTCATGGCTCAAGATCTCTGCTCAAGATGTAAGTTTTTGCTTGATTTGTTTTTATTTTTAGTCGATTTAGTTGATAATTAATGTTTTTTGTTGGTTTTGAATTTGATGGTATAAACCCATGTTTTTATTCATCAATTTTGATTTATACAATCTGTTCGAATTTGGATGTTTTAAGAATTTTAAAAGGACTCACATACCATTTACAATTGTTTACTTGGGTATTATCTCCATTACGTAAATGTGTAATTTTTTCCCCTAAACCTGGATTATTTTTTATATGTGCAATGTGGTGCGAATTAAAATTTGATCGAATAAACTCATGTTTATTTTAATCTGATTACAAGTATTGATAATTTATTGGGTGTTTTTTCTTGTAGGTTGATGACAACATTTGTAAGTTTGCAAAGAAGGGTTTGACACCTTCTCAGATTGGTGTGATATTGAGGGATTCTCATGGTATTGCTCAAGTTAAGAGTGTCACTGGTAACAAGATCCTTCGTATCCTCAAGGCTCACGGTAAATTTTATATCTTCTGGTCCACCAACCTCTCTTAGATGTTTGCTTTAGATTTGATTTTGTGAAATTGAGTGTTGAAATTGTGGTAGAGAAACTGATGTATACTGGGAAGAACAGGGAGTGTGGCCGGGTGGTTGTATTTTATATGCAGTTTTTTTCTTAATTTTAATTATGGAAGCTCATTTAAACTATGATTCTGGAAAGTTGGATGCGTTTTCGATGCGTAATGTAATACTGTGATACTTTTATAGGGGTATTGGAATTGATATTGGAAGGGGTTAGTTTTGGTTTTATTTAGTGTTTTGTTAACCCATTAGGAACCAATAGGGTGTTTTGGACCCATATATCATTTTCTTTGGTCTCTACAGTGGCCGGATATAGAAAGATGGGCAAGATAATTACATGAGAATATGGGATCTTATAATTTGTTTTCCTTTAGCTGGAAGGATATATTCTTTGGGTTGAAACTGGTTTTCGGAACTTTATGTTTCTGGATGACCTGTGACTTGACTGACATGAGTATGCATAGCATATTGAGCTTGTCCTTGAAAATTGAGTCCAAGCTATGATTGGGTTTATTTGTTATTAAGTTATTTTTTCTTAACATGTTCGATTCTGTTATGTGCAAGAAGAAGAATCATATCCATCGATAATCTTACTTTGCAAGAAGAAAATCATATCAATCGATAGTTTTTTTGAATCCTACTTTGCTAGAAAAAGATTTATTTCCATCGATAGTTTGTTTGAAGTAGCTGCTTTAGGCTCATGAAACCTGTTACTAATATTGTCTTGTTTGGATTGGGGTCATTAGGTGGAACCTAACACCATTTTCTCCCCTAATTATTTTAACTATATTGGATTTATTTACATTATTAGTTGTGCCAAGAGGTATTGTCGTTGTCTTGTTCTGCCATACAATCACGTAACTTCTCTCCCCTAATTATTTTATGTACTTTATTAGTTGTGCGGTTGTGTCAAGAGGTATTGTTGTCATGTCATGCCACACGATATTACAATCACTGAAGTACTAAACTCCTCTAGATGAAAATTAACTATGCTCTTGTAAACTGGAATTTGGAAATCAACAATAACCTTATTAACTGTATCATATGTTTTGGTCGGTACTATTTCATATGGATGTAGTGTATTTAGCTTTTGTCCTCACCTTGTGATTGCTTGACTATTTATTCTCAATATCAGTTTTAGTATCTAGTGAAATTTTTTGCTAATTGTTTACTGGTTATGTTGCTTAGGTCTGGCCCCTGAAATTCCAGAGGATCTCTACCATCTTATTAAGAAGGCAGTGGCTATCAGGAAGCATTTGGAGAGGAACAGAAAGGATAAGGATTCCAAATTCAGGTTGATTTTGGTTGAGAGCAGGATCCACAGACTTGCTCGTTACTACAAGAAGACTAAGAAGCTCCCACCAGTCTGGAAATAGTAAGTTTACATGTTAATTGTACCTTTTTAGACAGTTTCTCTGTAAATTTGATATTGTTGTTAGTATGCCTTGAAAGTAACTAATTGCATTTATGAATTTTCTCTGCAGCGAGTCTACAACTGCAAGCACTCTCGTGGCTTAAGAATCTGTTTTGTTTTGGATCCATTGAAGTAGAAGAAATGTTATAATTCAGGCTGGGCAAGTCGTGTTCCAATTTGCTGTATGGACTTCTACAACCAGTATAATATCGTTTAATATTATGATTAGAAATTTTGTTTTTCCGTAGTAAGTACTGTCAAGGACTCAGGAGATTTGCTTGCATGTCTTGGTAATTTTGTCACTATGAAGGCATTTAGTTTGTGTTGGAATCCTTATGTTTATTCAAGTTAAATGCATCTTTATTTTATAACCTCCAATTTGCTAACCAAAGTACTCGTACCTAATTGACACTAAGCAAGCAAATCAATATTTTTTTTGTTTTTTTGAGCGAATATTTTGCACACATGGGGTGTACTTACCAGGATAAAGCTCTGAGTCTTGTGTTGTGTGGATATCTTAATGAGTGTTCTGTGGACATCACTTTTGTTTTTGATACCTTAGTGATGCACTCGATGTTTCAGAGGTTCTTAAGGTGACTTCTCATTGGCAATTCTTTGGTCCATGTTGTGACTTGTGTCGATGGTTGATATGTTTTAGAGGTTCTTAAGGTGTTTGATATGTATTGGAAACAATCCTTGATTGGAGTTTTTGACTTTCTCCCATATTCTAAAACCTTGTGAAACCATTTCTAAATATTTATACCAAAATTCTACTTTCATTGTGTGGAAGGCTCCAGCTATTGTATTGAGCATCCATTGTAAATTCAACATATGTTTGTTAAAAAGATCAGGATTTACATGCTATAGTAGTAAATTTCTGAGGTAAGTTTTGTAAAATAAAAAACCATAGCAGCATAAAGCCATAAAATACTTGAATCTGTACAAAACTTTCACTACTACTACAGTATGAAGTAACTAAATCCTCTGAAAGTTAGGACTGCAGAGTGAGCTCAAAGAAAGCTCCTCAAACTACTATTATTTGACTAAGGCTACTCAAACTACTGGTACAAATCCTATTTGTGACTGTATTACTACTACTAGTACTATGAAGTATGAACTAACTAAAGCATACAGATTATATAATTTGTGCAGCTAAGATACTCTGTATTAGCGTAACTTGCATGCAACAGCATAAGTGAATCAAATTTAAAAAATACAGGAGATTCATTATCCCTAGAGTATTTGATAACCAGAAGTCAGAAAAAATGCGAAGTATGCAATTGGTTTTCATACATGGCCTGAAGTTGGAGATAACCTTCAGACACAAAATAAGACGCCCAATTTAATTTACTATGAAATGTTACGAATACATGTCCATAAGCTATGCAAAATAATCTATGTAAATCAAAGGATTACATAAAATATAAGAGTATACTAGTAATTTTAATCCTTGCCAGATTAATCCAATAATAAAAGTATAAAAAACACAACTATATCAGTAGATTACAATATTGGGGATGTGCTGAATAAGGGGCCAATCTTCACCATTTGGTTGCTGACATCTTGTCTCCAACTGTGGACAATTACTAATATTAAGTAGTAGAGAAGAAAGGCTGCGCAATGATTGTGGAAGTGAGGCCAATTTCCGACAACCGTAAATAACAAGCCGTTGAAGCTGGGAGAGGCGGCCAATCTCCTCTGGCAGGCTAGTCAAATTATCAAGATAGATTATTTTGAGCTCCCTAAGTGCCTGTAGACTACCAATGGCACTGGGGAGCACCTGCAGTTTCGAGATGTGTGAGACTTCTAGGAAATAGAGGCTTCTTAAGTCTGGCCAAGTTCTGGTGTCCCGCAAATCCAATTCTTCACAACTGGAGATGCTCAATTCCTCAAGGGCTGGGAGATGTTGCAGTACATCATATATGTTTTTCAAGCTGTCACAGTTATCTATATTAGGAACTCGAGTGGAAGACCTTGGAGATACCATGATCAAATTGGTGTGCTCTTCGCAGGACCTGATAGATAAAGACTCTAAACTACAGAATTTTTAGAAAGGAAACTAGATTATAAATTTGGTTTATCGCCAAATTCTTGAGTGTAGAAGGAGTAACTGAAGAAGATGATGGCGATGGTGCTTCTCGATGTGATGCTAGAAGGGATTCCAGCAGCTTCTCATCAATCATTTCAAAACTTAAGTGCTCAACCCTTGGTAGTATAACAGGAATCGACATCAACTGCAAACAGTCACGAATTCTAACTCGAGAAAGGCAGGGGAAGAGTATTAATGGCAGCTGCTGAGAAGTTAAGTTTTGTTACTGCGCGATATTATCATCTCTTGTTGCTGAGGTTGAATTTCGTCCATCACTCTTAGTCTCGACCACCAACCCTTTAATTTGAACAATGTTGACAAACACAAATACTCTACAGGGAAGTATGTTGCAGAACAAGGCTCTAAATCATCACCCCAATAATATTCTTCTATGTACTACACTTCCACTGCAATGACATCAAGACTTAGACTTTTGAGATGAGGTAGATTACTGAAGCGTGGAATTTGCCGGCAATATTCACAACATTGAATAGTAACATAAACAAGTCTAGGGAGTAAGCAAAGTAATCCCTCTGCCATCCTAATTGGAAACCTCTCTCCCCCGAAGCCTTTAACCTCCAAAGATCTAAGGTTTGGAGGAAACATCAGGCATTCGAACAACAACTCCATATCATTAGATGTAGGAGTCACCTCATACTCACAAATTTCTAAATCCAATGTGAGACCAGTTAGCTGTTCTTGTCTGTCCAATTTCACCCTTCTGGCTTCTAACACTGTATTTCTGCGCCATGTATGAAATCTAATTTCTAGATTTCCCCTAAGCTCCAAAGTAGCCAGTGCGTCTACACCATTATTTTTCCCTACTATAAATGTGTTCAATTCTCGGAGAGATCTCATCTTCTCAAATCCTGAAGGCATCTCTCTTAAAATGAAGCATTTCGAAATTCCCAGGTGTCTAAGGTTAGCCAATTTGGTAAAACCATTTGGCAATTGTTCAAGATTACTGCATTTATATAGGTTTAACGTTTGCAGGTTCTCTAACTTTGTGATGGCATCGGAAAGACACTTAATGGAGCTGTATCTAAGATTAAGGTATCTCAGATGTCTCAACCTGGCAGTGTCCTACAAATTGTTGTAAGTTTCAAGGCACGTAAGGATTCCAATCTTGAAATTGTCTTCATCGAATCTAACTCCTCAATAATGTACTCTGAGAGAAAAGATGACGAAGGGCCTTCATCACTAGCTACATGCAGCGCTAAGTCATGCATTTTTCAAGATACAATATCTGTTTTATCATCTACGCGGGCATCTTGAAAAAAGTTCCTCCTCAGTAACTCAAGAAAGTATAGATCCCCAACTTCCTCAAGGCCGATACTCTCTTTGGATGCCTCAATGTACCCTTGGGCCATCCAAAGATGAACCAACTCATTCTTCTCAAATTCGTAATCTTTTTGAAACAACGAACAATAAGCAAAGCATTGCTTCAACGGTGATGGCAGAAAATCATAACTCAACTTTAAAATGGGCATAATGTTGTCATCTTCGGTCACCTTTGTCTTTGCAAGGTGACCATCACGAAACAACAACCACTCTTGCTCAGTGTCTTTAGAGTAAAGGAGGCTTCCAATAACTCTAATAGCAAGCGGTACTCTTCCACATCTACCAACAATATCTTTTCCAATCCTAGTAAAATTAGGATTACTCTCCTCTTGCCCTTCTTTCAATTCTAATCTTTTGAAAAGCTCCCAAGACTCCTCATCTGTTAGCAGTCCCAAATCGTAGGCTGGACACGTCCCAACAACATTTGCTACCACATTAGAACGCGTAGTCACAATTATCTTGCTTCCCTTACAACCACAATCCAACAAGCTCTTAACCTGAAGCCATCTATCCCGACTCTCATCCCATATGTCATCCAACACAAGTAGATACCTCTTGTTACTTATCGATTCTCGGATTTTTGACTGAACTTGTTCCAATGAGAGACCATCACAGTTCAAACCTGTCAAGGAGTTGCAAATTTTGCGCATCACTTCAAACTGATTATCTACCTCAGGTACACAAGCCCATTTCATGAGCTCGAAATGGGTCTTTAACTTCTCATCATTAAAAACCAATTGAGCTAGACTTGTTTTGCCAATTCCCCCAAACCCGACAATTGGGATGAAAGAAACTCTTTCCTCAGCAAACACAGGATCAAAGATCATACTAATTATTGCATCATGCCTACCAATGATATCATCTGGTTGAACAAAAGAGGTGGTTTCTCATTTGCTCATCAGGTTAGCAAAAGGAAGGTGAAAATCATCTCTATGATCACAAACACTCAGGTTCAGGCCATCCATATCCGACTTGATGGCATCGAGTTCTTGCCTAATAGACTTGATCTCTCGAGACACTTTTATGCTAAACAAAAGAGGACTTGAATCAGAGAATAACAAGCGTACCTTCATTGCCATGTTTCCTTTGATACGCCGCTTTCTCTATTGAGCAATGAAGACATCATCAAACAGATCATCTGCCTTGAAGAATACAGCCCTGAGCCAACGAAGCCACTCTCTGATAACAGCACTGCGCTCTTCCTCATGGCGCTTCTCAGCATCTATAACCTGAGCTTTGATCATCCCGAGGGTTTGCTCGAGCTTCTTCAAGTCACTCCTTGTCCCCTACCACAACAAAACCTCTTGGAATGCTGATTTTCCTAATGATTCCAAGAGGTTTTTGGCTATGTGAAACAGAATTCCCTCGGCCATTTTTGCAGTAACTCTCTTTTACACTCCCTTCAAGTACACACTCTTAGTTTGTAGTATGTGAAAATATTGTTGTATTCTGCATACATAGATTTATACCTTATATTTATCACAGTTATATCATATTCTTTCTTGTTAGACATGTACAAGTTCAGAATATGATTACAATTTTATTTTCTTGGGCAGAAGTGAAGAATGTAATGCAAAAAAATCAAAGGTAAATTTGTCGAAACACAAAGAAAAAGGTTGATATGTTGCATATGTCAGAAATCGCAACAAAGAAATATAGAACAGGACTAAAATCAAACAAAGAAGAAGTACAGGACACACGAATTTTCTGCCATCAATGCTGCATCCGTAGAAGTTCAGCTCAGGACCTAAAACTAAGCTTCATTAATGGAGGAAAGTGTTTCTTATAGAAGAAGAAAACTAAACAGAAAAAATGGAAGAGAATTGAGTGAATGAAAAGTACAAGTTGCATAGCTATTTATAGCTAGCTCTTTTAATATAGTGAGCTGAGGTGGAAAAGTTGTAACAAACTTTGAGTGCTTTCCCTACATAATGTTGGAAAGAGCTGCAATTCCATAATTACAGTTACTTTTTTTTATAAATTCTCAATTTACCGTCCACATCATCAATTTTTTTTTTTTTTGATTTTATTTGGCAAAACCGCTACTTCAAGTAGCGGTTTCTTAATATATTCAGTACTTATATATATATATATAATAAAAGATAAAAAAAAAAACCTGACTTTCTTAACTTTCTCTCTCTTCTTTTCCTTGGTATTGCCGTTCAAACCAAAGTCCCCTTTCTCCATTGTTAATTCACACTCAAGCTTTAGAATCAAATTCCTCTCATTCATTCTTCTAAATTCATTATTCATTGCCCATCATCTTCAAAGAGTAAAAGTTATAGTGGGTGGATTTCTTATTCATTTGGGGATTAAGTTTGGGAATTTGATTTTTTTGATTCAAATTGTTTGGGATTATAAATCACGTCGTCATTGCCATCACCATCACCACCACCGCCACGACCACCATCACCACCATCTCCGCTACCTTTTCGTCCCAATTTTTTCGCCATTGGGTTAATTTAACTTTGTGTCAATTATGAAATTTAGATTTTTTTTTTTTTTTTTTTTTTTTTTTTTTTTTTTTGAGAAAGTATGTAATTCGGATGTAACTAAATTAAGATTTGATTTTTGTTAAATTGATTTGGACGTTGGAGTATTATCAACCTTGCCTTGATCTTCTCAATTCATGGTATTCACCCTTTGATTTGTATTTGTACTCCGTATAATTACTTAGATCTGAGAACTCAACAAGTATTGTATATATGAAGTTTTCTTCTGGTAAACCGCTACTTCAAATAGCGGTTTTGCTAAAAAATTCAAAAATAAAAATAAAAATAAATGATGATGTGGACGATAAATAGGGAATTTATAAAAAAGTAACTATAATTATAGAATTGCAGCTTTTTTCAATATTATATAGGGAAAGCACTCACAAACTTTTAATGCTCAACTACCTCATTCTGACGTGGCATAAGTTGTTATAACAACTTTGACTTCGTTGACTTGAGCAAGGGAAAGCAATCAGGATGTATTACTCTAACACCCCCCCCCCCTCAAACTTGGCAGGGACTTTGTCATTCCAAGTTTGCATAACAAATCATTGAACTGTGAAAAAGGTAGCACTTTAGTAAGTACATCAGCCAGTTGGGATGAAGTGGGAAGATAGGTGAGCTGAATTAAACCTTTCATGACCATTTCCCTGGTGAAATGACAGTCTATATCTATGTGCTTAGTTCTCTCATGGAAGACTGGGTTCTTTGCAATGTGAATGGCTGGCTGATTGTCACAATGCTGGACAACTGGTAGAAGATTAATAACCCCAAGTTCAGTAAGCAAACGAACCATCCATGTTACTTCAGCAGAAGCACTGGCCATAGCTCTTTACTCAGATTCTGAAGATGATTTAGAAACTGTTGGTTGCTTCTTAGATTTCCAACTTATAGGTGATTGCCCAAGCTGAAGAACATATCCAGTGGCAAATCTTCTAGAATCAGGGCATGCTGCCCAGTCAGAGTCCGAAAAAGCTTGTAAAGTGATGAGATCTCCTACCCTCATTAAGATACATTGATCAGCAGTAGCAGAAACATAGTTAAGGGTGTGATGTAATGCTGAAAGATGAGATGTTCTTGGGGTTTGCATATACTGACTGAGTGTCTGCACAGTATATGACAAGTCTAGCCTGGTATTTGTCAGGAAATTTTGTTTACCAACTAAACTTCTGTATATTGAAGGATCAAGGAGGAGAGAACCTTCAGTAGCATGTAGCTTCAAATTGACAGGCAAGGGAGTGACTACATGCTTGAAAGAAGATAACCCACAGTTTGATAGGAGCTCGTTGGTGAACTTTTTCTGAGTTAGTATTATGCCATTAGCCTGATAACCAACCTCAATACCCAAAAAATAACTGAGTTTTCCCAAATCTTTGATGCTTAAGGTATCATGTAGGTGCTGCTTAAGACTCTGAATGGTATGACTGTCATTACCAATCAAAATAATATCATCCACATATATGGCAGCTATTTAATTTTGCAGTCACCTTTCTTCAAAAACAGAGAAGCATCACTTTTGCATTGAAAGAAACCTTACTTATTCAATTCTTCATGTAACTTGGCAAACCATTGTCTTGATGCTTGTTTAAGGCTGTAGAGAGATTTTGTCAGCTTACAAACTTTACTAGAAGATGCATCTAAGCCTTCAGGGATCTTCATATACACTTCCTCATGTAAGTCACCATGAAGGAAGGCATTGTTAACATCTAATTGAAACAAGCTCCAACCTCTGCAAGCTGCCAAAGCAATGACATCTCTAATTGTTGCCATTTTAACAATAGGAGAAAAAGTCTCTTCATAGTCCACACCAAACTTTTGTGTATAACCCTTTGCTACAAGTCTGACCTTGAATCTTTCAATTGTCCCATCTGCTCTAAGCTTGATTTTGAAAACCCACTTACCAGGAGGAAGATCTACAATTTCTCAAGTATTATTGACCATAAGAGCATCTAAATCCTTTTGCATTGCAGTAACCCAATTTGGATTAGATTTTGCTTAACCATAAGTTTGAGGTTTTGTCAATGCAGAATAAGAAGCAACAAAAGCTCTGTGATCTTTAGTAGCCTTGTTAAATTTAACAAGATTACACCAGTGTGTAGTTATGACCTTTTTGACAGCAACATGACACAAATAATCACCCATCCAATATGGAGGTTTTCTAGGTTTGGGAGGTAAGGTTTCTAGTTGCTTAGGTAAAACACTTGTAATGTCCTGAACAATGTTATGAGTAGTGGATTAAGAGGATGAGGGTGTGGATTGAGAAGATGAGGGTGTGGATAAAGTTTCAGATAAAGAACTCGATGAATGTTCTGCTGTGATGATGGAATCAGTTTGACTGTTTGTGTGTACAAGAATGGGAACAGGACATATCTTAACAAAAGGATCAATGAAGATGTGTGAGCTATTTTATGTGGGAACAAAGAATTTAAAAGGTTGTTCTGAAGTATTGGATGTTATGTGGAAAGGAAATTGTTGTTCATGAAATACAACATCCCTACTTACAATGATAGAATTATTAGAAAGATGTAAAACTTTGTACCCTTTTTGTGTTAGACTGTATCCTATAAAGACACAAGGGTCAGCCCTATGATCAAATTTTGATCTATTGACTTTTGAAGTGGAAGTAAAGCATAGGCAGCCAAAGGTTTTGATGTGATCTAGAGAAGGTGGTTTTTTGTACAAAATCTAATATGGGGAAATATGATGAAGAACAGGTAAAGGCATTCTATTAATCAAATGTGCTGCACACAAAACACATTCTCCCCAATATTTTCTGGCAACTTTGATTGAAAATAAAGAGCCCTAGCAGTTTCAAGAAGAGTCTATGTTTTCTTTCCACAACTCCATTTTGTTGTGGTGTCCCACTACAACTAGTCTGATGTTCTATTCCTTTCTTGTTATACAAATCAAGAATTTTTCCTTCACAAAGTTCCTTTGCATTGTCTGTTCTTATACGTTTTACTGAACAGTCAAATTGATTTTCAGGAAAGATAACAAAATTCTCTAGAATTTCAACCGCATCAGATTTAAATTTGATCAATTATACCCAAGTATGTCTGCTGAAATCATCTACAATAGTAAAAAACATAGTGTTCCCATTATAGGACTTGTGTTTATATGGCCCCCAAATGTCAACATGTATCATTTAGAAGGGTCTTACAGTCTTTATTACACTAGTGGGAAAGGGTAATTTACACTGTTTGGCCTTAGGACATATCTGACAAATGTTGTCTGGTATGCCCTTCTGGCTTACAGATGGAATTACATGTTTTATTTGTCTGAAAGGCATATGCCCTAACCTTAAATACCATAATTTGATATTATCATCTATCTGACAAGAAGAAATACTACTAGTTGATGTAGTAGCTAAATGTTGTTTTGTCTGGGTTTACAAATCAGGGTCAGGCTGACTATGTTCCACAGCATAATAAAGTCCAGACTTCAACTTACCAAGAACAATCTCCCTTTTCAAAACTGGATCCTATATCATGCATTTATCAGGTGTGAATATCACATGACACTTCATATCCCTAGAAAATCTATGAACAAATATCAACTTGAACTGGAACTTAGGAACATATAGCACATCCTTAAGTACTATATTTGAACTTAGCTTAACTGTTCCTATGTGAGTTATTTGCACTTCACTTCCATCAGGTATGGTTATAGTGTTCTCATCACTATCTAGTTCATTATATGAATCAAACAACCTCAAATCATGACATATATGGTCTGTAGCACCACCGTCTATAATCCAGCCTAGATTAGAGTGAGAGAAAAGACAAAGTTTACCTGTAAAGTAAGCATGTACTGCTGTTACTATTTTCATCTGGATAAGAGATGTTCAGAGACTGATTCTTTGCATTTGCATTTGCATTCTGTTCTCCTATTGCACTCATTATCCTTGCATATTCATCTCTGGTGAAGGATGCTGTGATAATATCTTCTTGCATATTCATTTCTTCCAAATTCTCTTCACCTTGAGCCATATTAGCAAACCTTCTCTGTGAACCATTCTTGAAATCAGGTGGAAAGCCATGTAGCTTGAAACATAACTTGCAATGTGTGCAAAACAAGTTCAAGTTTCTTTTGAAACCAACAATCTGTCTTCCACCATAAGAATTATGTCCACCATTTCCGTAATTGTAAAAATTTCCCTTACTTTGATTAGGAAATTTTTTATAGTTGTAGTTCTGATTATAAGAGCCATATCCACCATTGTAAGAACTACCAAAACGAGAGTTATTGTCATAAGACCTTCTTCTATCAGCTCCAAAAGCCATAACATCATATGAACCACTCAAGTCACTTAGTTTCTTGTGTTTCCGCTCCTACAGTAACATTCTATATGCAACAGTCATTTGTGAAAGAGGATGCATCATCAAAATATTGCTTCTAATCTGCTGATAACCATCTTTAAGCTTCATGAGAAACCTCAACAACCTTTGATGCTGCTGAATCTTCAGAAATTTAGCTGTGAGATTACACCTGCAACCGTCACACTCACAGATTGACATAGGACTTATATCATCTAATTCATCCCATAACACCTTCAGTTTAGCAAAATATTTTGCTATCTCATCAGATTCTTGCTTCACCTCATTAATCTTTTCTTATAAAGCATACAATTGTGCAGAAGAAACATGTCCATATCGTTCCTCAAGATCTTGCCACATATCTCTTGCTGTCTTATAGAAAAATACTGATTTCTTGGTTACAGGACCAAGTACTCCCAATATCCAACCAACAACCAGATCATTGCACCTTACCCATGCTTTGTAAGTAGCATCTGTTGGATGAGGTTTAGGTAGTGTTCCATCAATGAAACTCATCTTATTCTTAGTAGAAAGCTCTATTATCATCGACCTCTTCCAAGAACTATAGTTCTCACCATAAAAAACTTCATTGATAAACTTGTAATTGTTGTTATCAGAAGGATGAATATAATACACTATACTAGGATCTTGTGTAAGTTCCATAACTCTATTTGCTTCTTGAGCAGCCATGAATTCAGAAATTGATTACCAGAAATGACAATTATGTCCAAAGAATGCAGGAAATTTAATTATCAATCAGAAATACTTCACAATCTCCAACAAAATTGACTATCAATCAATTCATAAGATGAACAACTAATCCAGAACACAAATCTTCAATAAAAAACCAAAGAATCGACCAATAATCATCAACAAAATCTCAATCACCAAGAATTTCAACAAATCAATAGCCAGAATACTCAAATCAACAAAATATCACCAAATTCATCCAAGAAAATCTAGAAAATTATCTCCAAACTTCAATCAAACTTCGATCAAAGGCAAAACATACAGAAGATGAAGAGATTACTAGAATCAAACTCGAATTTGAGATTCCCGCTCTGATACCATGTCAGAAATTGCAACAAAGAAATATAGAACAAGACTAAAATCAAACAAAGAAGAAGTACATGACACATGAATTTTCTGCCATCACTGCTGCATCCGTAGAAGTTCAGCTCAGGATCTAAATCTAAGCTTCATTAATGGAGGAAAGTGTTTCTTACAGAAGAAGAAAGAAACACTTTGTAATTTTCATCAAAGTTACAAATACGCCTTACTATATTTTGAACAAACATTCACATATACCACAATTATTGTATAGAAACTAATGCAGCAATGTGAGATATAGAAAACAAAATATACATAGAGTAATGCATCTAACAACTTTCGGTATATGCAATGAATAATACATTAACCTAGACTCACATATGCATATGTACATACATAGGACTCAAAATAATGCAAGACCCTGTACAAAGTGGATTTGAATCCATATTTCATTGGACTTCTGGTCCGTGATAAATTTATCATGATTATCATTATGTCGACATCAAAATGGACATATATTCCAGATCCCTTATTCACTAGTCCATTCTATCATGCATATGCATTATTTATCGGTTCCATCATATACCGGTATCATCATATAATTCATCAAGGTACAATTTTAATTTTCATGCTATTTTGACAATGATATATGGATACATTTTTCATTGGTACCATCATAATTTTTCTTACATCATAGGCCATCTATTGTAATAATTCAGATATCTATTCCACTTTTGGGGTATTTATATACTATTACACTATTAAAAGTGTTAAATACATTATCTTGCCACATATAATATCTATATTTTGGAACCGATCATACAACCCACACTTCAGGTATAGTGATTCATGTATAATTGACAAGATTTTATCTCAATGTATACACATAATTTAATATGAGCAAAATGTATCTTCAACACTATGCAACATGAGTCATAACTGAAAACAAATCGAATCATAAAAGTGCAACATATCTTGATAGTATATAGACAAAAGTTGGCATATAACTTTTCAAACTACCATTATAGGGATCATCAAGTTTTTTTTTTTCTCGATTTTTCCAACTTTTGTTGATTCTTCTCCCCTTAAGTTTGTAAAATATCTCTTTTATAGGGGCGTCTAATTCTATACCAACTTAGTATATAGATTTGCATTAAAATTCATTTCATTGGGAGGATCACAATCAAAATTTATCTCTCACAAGATTTGTATTAAACAAGATTTATCTCTTCTGGAGAACAATTTCAATGAAGAATCATTTATTCATTAACTTTACATTTCATGTGTATTTATTATTACATTTTCCATAATATTTTCTCTTTTGGAGATCAATGTCAATGGGGAGACATGTGTTGTGCAGTTGTATGTTTTTCCTTATTCTCCTATTTCTTATGTGCTGACATATAATAGCCCCAATCAAAAGAATTGGTATACAAGCATAAATCACTTGCTTGTAATTCTACTAGGTGGTGATCTTCAAGATATTTGAAGACTTAAATAGTGTATTTGGTGAGCTTCTGGTAACCTAATACTTGACAATAATATATAAGTTATTCTGGTGAATTTCCGGTCGCCTATTACTCTTTCATATATATGAAATAAAAAAACTATTAACTCTTGAAATTTTCATTAACACAAATTATTATAGCTCAATCTCAATGTTATGTCTTACCATTCAATTCATTTCATATATCTAACATTGAGAGAGTGTCAGCACATTATCAAATGAAACTTCAGGTTTCTATAACGAGTATTTATTAAACTCGGGTGGCCTAATTTAATTATCACATCCAATTACATCTCTGAAATTGAATTCTAGTCAGTTTTCCAACAATAGTGATCACTTTACTTTATGCATGGCCATGAGTATGATGTGATATTAGAACACCAACATGTGTTTCTTTATACAATTGGCAAGACAATCGACTAATATGTGATCTAATATTAACTCATACTCTGCTGGAGTGCTTTTGATTATAATCATGATACATGCTAAGCTTGTTAGACATTTTATACTCGTTTGGAGTATTTTATACAATCATGGTATATATCAATTTTACTTAACATAATCTTTGGAACCTATTGGGCTACAAGTCCTACAACGCTTCAGGCGTGCTCTAGGTTCATTAGCAATTGATGATGCTTCTCTAGGAAATCAAATTTAATTGAAAAATTTACAACTGGTATACAATCAATGCCATTTATTCACATCTATCTTCAAGATGATGTTATTCTAAATATTTAATAATTATGTGACCATCTTTTATTAATAAATCATTGATATTTATTTAAGCTAATGTGTGTACCAAACTGAACATCAATGTATCTTATTATTCATGTGCAAGGATTACATATAATAATGAAATAAATGCTATCTCCCCCTAATCCTTGCATATGGGGGTATGAAATTAATCCGACAGCCTTTAAAATCCCTTTGCACATTTTAAGCAATAAATTATTTTGGCAATGTCATGTATCAAGCAAAGTAAACTTATTCTTATAAAACTCTTACGTGTTCCTCTTGCCCGGTTATATTAATTGAAAATTCTTAAAACTATGGTCATAATAAAAATATTGATCATGTAATTTAAGTAGCTCACAATGTCATGTTAAATTCCTTAAACTCATATAGATTGTTTCTCAGTTAAAATTATGTTTGCAATTCTTATAAACTTTTTAATGAATTATAATCAAGAAATCATCATGCAATCAACCTACCTTGTGTCTCGTTGGCAAAAATAATTTGCTTCCTTACACTTGAACAAGGGACAAGGGTTGGTAGAAAAAAAAAATTGACCAAAGAAATTATCATGCAAACAAGCTTGTTATCCTTTTAATCATACAAAATCTCATTCACTTCCGGGAATGGTATATCTAGTACAATGTAAACGTCAATTATTGTTTTTATTTATTTAATAAAAATAGTTCGCTGCATATATAATATATATCTAATAAACAAGATATTAATCATTCATAATTTAAAAATCTTTCTCATGTGTCTCATTATAATTTAAGAGAATATTGGGGGTATCTAGGCATCAAACTTAGAAATACGGGTGATATACAAATAATTTCTTTGTGCTAAATACTAAGGGTTTGTGGCACTTCAATGGTCCAATATTAAGACTTGTATTATTTGACTTGTTTCCTCATTTGCTCCTATATATAGTGGCTTGACAAAATACTGTTACATATGTGTGTATTTCAGCAGCACAAACCTTTGATGATATGTATTTTCAAGAAGAAGAAAGGCTGAAAAATTTTGAGTTTAATTAACAAAATATAATAGTATTAGTACTATAGAATAGTAAAATCAAGTTGATCAAAGCATCTCTTAGCAAAATTATCAGAGTGGGAAATAAAGGATTCACATGAAAGTTTATATAAATAACTTATTGGCACACATTTAGACGCTTATCGTGTATAAAACATCATATCAAAAGCAAAATACGTGAATGTTTCATGAATAAAGTAAATACTAGAAGCCAATTTTAATTATTCTCCTTCACAAATTTAAGGAGCTCCAAGTTATATGCAATTACGAGTCTCTCTTATAAATTAATCCAACAGTACACTTAACTACTTGACTACTTACTATGACTATAGATCACAATTAAATATCTTCTACCAAAACACCTACAGATATTTTTTATAATAACTTAAAATTTTGATAATCAAGGTCAAGCACCTCAATAACTAAATAGTACTCGTATAAAGTCTCAATTTATGAATTTCATAAAAAAACTACAACAGTAATTTCTAATGAGCTTAATTGGAAAACTAATATCACACATTTCCTCTAAACAATCAACTAGGAACAATTATTAAAGATTATGAACCTCATACACATTTGACTTTTAATCAACTAATGCAACAATATACTGTGTACAAGTAACATAACAACATAACAAATTATTTTAGGTCTTAATTATTAAACATTATAATATCCCATGATGCAATGTCAATAAGAATTCTTTCAAAAACGCTTTGCTCTTACTCCATTCTCAACAAATCCATTGCATGCCAACTAGACTAGGGAGAAATAACAATTCAATTTTATGACACTTTAAAGATAAACTTAAACCGACTTCTATGTGAGTGTCAACATATACAACAAAAGTTCATGTATGATTAAATAAACTTCAATAGGCTTGAGGCTCCAATAAATGACTTAGTCTCAAACACCGTACCACTATTTTATTCTTATAATTAAATCAATGACTTGCGGTTTTCAAAATACAAATATGACTAAATTAAAAACAATAATACGATTGTGAGGTTAATTACACACCTTTCGGCACAATAATGGCGACTCCCAAAATCAAGTTTTTCTTAATACTAAACCAATAAACACTACAATAAAATATTTCTTGATAACTAGTGATTTGGGATTTTAATAAAGTTGTAAGAGAATGCTAATTAGAATACATCAGTGCGTTAGGGTTTCGATATAACCATACAAATCATTGATCAAACATTAAGGAAGTAATTATGTGTAAATTATAACCATACAAATCATTGATCAAATTTATAAAAGGTATGCATCAAGTAAACAAAGTAGATGGTAATCACATGCAAGTAAAGAGAAATTCAATTACATACATGCATAAACATGATGACACGGATGATAAAAAAAAAAA